TCTCACACTTTCTACTTTGTAGTTTAATCACATGCAAGATCAGGGTACTCGAATAATTATATACAATCTTTGGGAGGACGATCAGGGCCTGCTGGAACTGGATTTTGATACTGATCCACATGTAAGCCGCATTGGTAGCTTTTAATCTATAGGTGCTTGTAGTCTCTTGACGTTCTTTGTTTTCATTGTATTTCTAGGATATCCAAATCAGAGGCGTCAACAGAGATGAGAAGAGCATAGATATGGCAAAGAAATATCCCAACTCCAAGCACTTTCTGACCTATCGTCATTCATTGAGGGTAATAGCTGCAGCTTATGCTCTTGTGCATTGGGTGTCACTGTGATATCCTCAGCCCGATTAGTTTTTATTTATCTTTTAATTGTAGGTTTTGTTATGATCATTGTCTCGTGGGTCTTTCTAAGTGTCCTTGTGCTTTTAGGGCTTTCATAATCTGTTCATGCATCTGTTGTCACACACTCCTGAATTTACATGTTACATAACAAGCCAAGATTTTTATGAGTGTCACCGTCTAATAGTTGCTAGTGGAGGGCTGCTGCTAAGTTCCTGTGGGCATTTCTCTCCACTGTCCTCGTGCTTTTAGAGTTTTCGTACTTTAATCATGCATCTGTTGCTGCATGCACTTTTGGATTTACAAGTGAGTAGTGACATAAATAGCCAAACCTTTTGTGGAGTTTCACCAACTAATAGTAGGTTAATTTAGAGCTGCTGCTAAGTTCTGAGTTTGTAGGTTTTATAGTTCAGGACAAGTTATCATCGTTAAGCAATTGAAGCATAGACATAAGCTTTTTGAGGAAGTAGTTAATATATCTAATATACTTGTCAATTGTTCTTGCAAATATTAGGGTTTGTGAGCTTGCACTTTGGCATTGGAGGATAAATGTTTTCTGGCATATGGTGTAACCATACATTTCCGTTTACATGATACTGATATCGCATTTCTCGTCCGATTTACATTGCTTGACCTAAAATGGGATATAAAGGATTATTAGCAAGGATAAGAACGGTCAAGTCTGTTTTAAGGTATAAACAAAAAGCCTTTGCAGTAGATGAACAAATTAAAGTGAAAAATTGAATCAGTGATTTGGACTCTGCATTGATGTATGGAACAGATATTATCATGTGGTTTTTTATCTGTACCCATATGGATGTGTACTTGGACTACATAATTATAAATGACATACTAGTGTTATGTACATTTTAAATATATGGGATCCCTTATTTAGTGTGAAGTGTAAAGTGGTTGTTTTAATTCTCTGAGTTGTAACTGTACAATGGGAATATAATTCTTCTGCCTCAGAGGATATCTGTAATTAAGGCTTCGTGGACATGGTGGATTGTGATTAAATGTTTGTTCCTTCAAGATCAACTCATGAAATTACAGACATTACTTTGATTGTGTTCATCGATGTTTAAAACTGATTTGTTGCGTTGAACATATCACACATACTTCTCAATAGTCTGCATCTGAATAATTTAAGCAAGCTATGGGCTACTTGGACATGGTGGATTATGATGATATGTTTGTTCTTTTAAGATCAGCTCATGAAATTAGACATTAATTTGTTTGTGTCCGTTGATTTTTAATCTGGCGCTCCGTTGAACACATCACACATACTTCTCAATATTCTGCACCTGAAAAATTCTAGCACAGTATTCATGGTTTAAAAAGCGTTGCTGGGCTTTTCATTAATACATTTGAGAAATCCAAACTCCAAACCAAAGTATGATTCAGATATGGCTGCATTCAGTGTCTTGGAAATGTAAGCTGTGCTCTTGTGTAGCAAGCCGATTACATTTAGGATTTTCTGAATTCTAAAACTAGAAGAGTGTATAGCCAGTGTCTCACCTTGACTGTGGCTCATTTTTAATTTAAAAGAACCATTGTTTGCTTTAGATACCCATGTATTTACTCATTTATGTAGTATGCATCCATTTCCAGTTGCACGTTTAGATAGCAATCATGTATGAATTTTCTTTTAATGGAACTCCACTGTTGAATTGCAGAGTTATGCAGCTATTTTGTACCTAAGGATTCCGCCTAATTTTCGGATTATTCTGCGTGGTGAAGATGTTGAGCATCATAATGTTGTGAATGATATGATGATGTCGAAGGAAGTTACATACCGTCCTCAGCCAGGGGCTGATGGGATTCCAAAGGACTCAAATGTAACTTTCCTATTCTTACTGAATTTGGTTTCTGTTTCTGGCTCATTTATGCATTCGGCAACTTCATGTACTAATTTCCATGTCTGCGGTAGATGATGGCTGTAGTTACTGTTGGGTTTGTAAAGGATGCAAAGGCACATATTGATGTCCAGGGGTTCAACGTCTATCACAAAAACCGACTTATCAAGGTAATTGATTTGATTTATATTTATTTTCAGTCAACTGCATTAATGACAAAATCTGCATCGTGTTTACATAATTTTTAACTTTATTCCAAGTTTTGCAATATTTATAGTTTGTCAATGTCCCTATAATGTATCTTCTGTAATTTTTTCTATCAGGTATTAGATTCATCTGGTCAGTCTATGTTTTAATGCATTCCTTACGTTAGCATTTTTTTTTTGTTTTCACAGCCATTTTGGAGAGTTTGGACGCCCGCTGGTAGTGATGGTCGTGGGGTTATAGGTACTTTTCTAACAAAATTACTCCTAAGTAATGATTATGTGGGTCAACTTGGCTAATTCCATATGTTGCCTTGTGTAAGGTGTGCTTGAGGCCAACTTTGTTGAACCAGCACATGATAAGCAAGGTTTTGAGCGGACTACAGTTCTTGCGAGACTTGAGGCAAAATTAGTGCAAATGCAAAAGAATTATTGGTTAGTCTCTCTCTTCCTCCCCCAACGCCCCAAGATTCATTTTACTTTGCTTTTAATTGCTTGCTTTCATCTGCTTTTTGCAGGACCTCTAACTGTCACAAAATTGGCTATGCTCCTCGAAATAAAAACGTTCATGAAAGAGGTAACGGAAAAGGACCTAAGGTTTCATAACATTACTGAAAACCAAATCCAAAAAAATGATAGAATCCCCCAAACACTATCCACACAAAAAATAAAAATTAATTCAATAAAAATAGAAATAAAGCAGAGAGAGAGAGAGAGAGAGAGAGAGAGAGAGAGAGAGAGAGAGAGAGAGAGTTGAGAAAATGAACAACTCAGATATATTTCTATTGAAGATCTGGCTGTTGATTGTTTGTTTCCAGATATTTCACCTGATTCTAATCCTCAAAGTCCTCTCAAGAAGAAAAATATTGGTTCGAGGGACAAGACACAGAGCAATTTTGTGGACATAGGAAACAATTACAATCATTCAAGTGGAAAGGGAGATGTCAGATCACATAGGAAGCAACCAAGTCGGGTGGAGTTATCTTCATCTTCTGAAGAGGATGTATGCAACAATGATAGGCGAGATCGAACTCTCAGAAGCAAGATCAATGGTTCATCATCCAAGAATATGTACGGAAAAGAGGGGTTGCAGAAGCCATCAGGGTTGAGATCTCAAACAACCAGGAGTTCGCACTCACAGGTAAATTTCTACTTGGGTATTGGCTTCTATGTAAATATGGTTCTCATATCTGTTTAAGGGTTTCACTATTGAATGATAAAAAAATGCTGGGCTCCCACGTCTTCAAAATTTGGATCTAATATAATGAGCTATGCAGTTGCCTCTATGGGTGCTTGAGGGTTCCTGGTTAGGTTTTCATCAATGTACAGAAATTGTTTCCATTGATAGGAAATTAAGTCATTTACCGTAATCTGTGGGTACTTCTGTCTGATGGTTTTTCAATTCAGAGTCAAAAGTGTAATCAATCACATACAATCTTACAAAGGCAATGTGTATGAAAGCATATAAACATTTCTTTTAGGGATCTGTCTTGCTTATTCTTCATTGCATGATATCTTAGCTTCGAGTTTATGTTGTTTTTTGAATGCAATTAGCAGGAGAATGGTTATAATAACAATGAATTATCACCAAGTTCCAGTTCCCAGTTAGCTCAGTTGAGAGAGGAGAACCTCAAATTGAGAGAAAGGTGCCCAGTCCTTACCTGAATTGTGGATTTATGTGGGTTTTGTCACCCTTCAAACAATTTCTGTTGTTGAATTCACAGATTGAAACGAAAAGAAGAAGAGATACTTGGTGATTTGCGGCTTGATTTACTGAAAGAAAAAGAAAGAACCAAGACTTTCGAAGCTGAGGTAATAAAAATCAATACCATTTTTTTTTTTTTGTAAGACAAATGTCTGTTGTTAATGACATCTTTTGGTGGGTGAAATATATGTACCTCCTAGTATGATATCTGATTTTTTCTGTCCATGATTATGATTAATTAATACCTGTATAGTTTGAGAGTAGATGTAATTTGGTGCCTAAAATGTCGATATCAAGCGATATTTCAAGCATTGAGATTGATATTACTACATACACTGTTCTTGATTTAAAGATTCCCGGGGGTCTTTTCATTTTATTGTCCCGGATGTATTAAGTGGATTATGGGAAATAAGTCAATAGTAGTTATACCCTCATTGTGATATAATGGAAATGCCCAACTACTAGAACATTGTACATCAAAATCATTTTGTCAAAGTTATGATGGCTAGTTGTGAGTTGTCTACTCTACGCTACAACAAGTGATTGTAGAAAACAAAATCATGCTTGATCTTTATGTCTATGAAAATACATTTTTTTTTTTTTT